CTAAAAATAGAATTATTGTCCCATATCATGGGGACAACCCCAATACTAGAAATGGCGCGCGCTTACGGTCTCCGTCCCCGATTATGGCTCCTGATTCAAGCCAAACACTTCCCCATTCATGCTCACTTATATCTGATATATAATGATTGTTGGATGTTTATTTTTTAATTTTTTCTTGTTGTAGATAACGCTTACGCATGCGATCCTAGAATAAAGAAATTTAAAGATGAGGAAAAAGAAAAGAAACTCGCAGAAAAGAAAGCAAAAGAGGAAGCTGCCCGTGCAGTGGCTGAAGAAAAAGAACGAGTGAGTAAACTAAACAACCTCTCGCTTTACAAATATTATATTTACCAAGAGTGCTATTTTGGGTCAAAATTAAATCTCTTCTCAACTTTGCATTTCAACTTTAATTTTTGGTACCCCACAAGCAGAGTCTCCTTCATCGAAGACGACGCTGCTCGGAGGGGAAAATTATTGGCGAAAATTTTTGGCGAATTCGTTTTAAAAGCGTTTGCAATGTTTTGTAATGTGAATCAGTGAACTAATCATTTTTACTGAATTCCTGTGAAATTTCTATTTGATTGTAGCAAAGACTTGAAGTATTAGAAAACGAAAGAAAGCTTAAAGAAAAGGAAGAACAAGAGGCAAGGGAAAAGGTGAGGAGATTTTTGTCAATAATCTTTTAATTTTTTAGCAGTTGTGTTTGATCTGGCTATCACAAACACCGGGCTGTTTGCAGTCTCTTCGTTCTTTACATCGCGACAAGTGGCCTGGGGCCCGTGCTCGAAAGGCCCGGAAACTTTTCGGGCCCGCAAAGCCATTTTTAGTTAATCTGTATCTAAAAACATAGAGGTGTACAGTGTATACGCCTGAAACTTCTTGTACGAAGAGAACATCTTTTCATATTAAGAATATGTGAATAAAACAGCTCTGTAATCAAAAGGTTTGAGATTTTGCTATGGCTTTTCGGATGCGAAAACTTTTCGGGACCTTCGAGAAACGGCTCCCTGAAGCCCCGGCCAAACGATCGCAACATGTCAACGCAACATATCGCAACATTGTTGGGCGCAACATGTTCCGTGCGTTTGGCCACCGTGTTGCGATGTGTTGCGACATGTTGGGTGTTGTTGACTCAAATTTGAAATGGTCAAATTTGAGCCAACAACACCCAGCATGTCGCAACACATCGCAACACGGTGGCCAAACGCACGCAACATGTTGCGCCCAACAATGTCTTAACGAGCGAGAGGTGGTTTGGTCCCAGTCCCCTCTCAACAGCCTCAGTCCACGAACAAGCTGCCTCTTTTTATTGAGGTGGTTCGATACAGTTTTTTCTCGACCATACCTAGCATTTACAATTGGCGTTTTACCAACCTTGCCTTACTCTGATCGACGTGGAAATTACACCAGTTTTTGGAAAAAGATTGAAATTTGGTTTAATATATAATTTTAGCATAATTTTTTTTATATCGGGATTTTGTAACACAACTTTTTCGTGGGTTCGAGCGCCTTCTTCATCGACAAATTTAAAAGGTTTCCGGTGTATCAATGCTAATAAAACTTTGGAATAAATGTTAACATTATCAGGCATACATGGTTAACGTTTTAGAAAAATCTATCCACCTGATTTAAGACTTCGGAAAAAGCGCTGAAAATCGAAAATTGTTCTAAATTTATTATGAAAGTGATGTTGTGTAACGAAAGGTGTTTCGTGCGGAACTGCGCGGTTAAGGACGGATATGGACTATCAGATTGGGAACTGTTGAATACAGGGATAACGGCGGACGGACTTGTCTTGGGGAAAGCTCTGAAGAGCACAGGCTCGCTGCACGGCACTCGTTAGTCAGTGCCAAAGGTACAGGGTCGTTGTCTCTCGTCAGCCGGACAGTAAATCAGCAAAGACTCTCACAGATCTGGAACTCTCTTGTCTTCTTTATTGTAGATTAAACCTCGTAGTACATAGGTCGAAGGTAATTCAGTATGTGCCTGCTTATATGTACTCACGGTGCGATAATAATGGCAGGTAAACTTTAAGGTTTCCAGCAAAATAAACGTCTAAGTCAAGTCTTATCAATACCAGCATCCGTAAAGGAAATTGCCAAACGTTTAGAGCTTCCGTTCAAGATAAGTTCGAGGAAATTGCTCAAGATATAGGTAAACAATGGTGTTGGTTGACAATACACTACGTCGCAGCTGAGAACAGGTATTACCGATAGTAATACGAAATGCTAGACTATGAATGATCTTAAGAGTTACCGAGAGGTTCCTTTCTATGTCAACATTTATGAATTTGTAATTATATTACAGTTAAGATTCATACATTTATCTCACGACATTTCCTGTAGATTACGATAAGTTTACAATTCTAAGTAAAGTGCGGAATTTATTCACGATAAGGATATATAGAAGAGCAAATATTACGCATAAACCTACTTCTTGTTTTGGGGTATATTTCTCTTCTGTGACAGTTGAGAAAAAGTCTCGTTCTCGAGATCAAGAAATCACAAACCAACAAAACTTTCATGGCTTCAAAACATAACTTCAAGGCACACTTTGGTGTCTTTTGAAGTAATTTAATTGAAATAGTGTTCTCCTTTCAGTCCATTTAATTTCATTAAATTGCATGGGTTGAAATGTTTTCGCGATTTATTCCAAGTCAAACATAGAGAATTTTTTTATTCTTGCACATTCCCCTGCCAAACATCGCAATTCAGAAGTTGGCATCAGCTTTTCTATAACAGATCTGGTTGATTTCGTTTCCATGGAAATGTCGATTACTCTAAAGAACACATTCAACCATAGTTCAATCCTTTTCCAAAAACATGTGTAATTTCCACATCGATCAGATCAAGGGAAGGTTGGTAAAACGCCAATTGAAAATGCTAGGTATGGTCGAGAAAAAACTGTATCGAACCACCTTAATGCTCGTAACATTTGATTTGTGTAATATTTATGTGTGTTTGCTTTTTCTGTTTATCTGTTTATTTGCATTATCCTTTCAGGCGCAGGCAGCCAAAGTGGAAAAAACTAAGATGAAGAATATAATGAAGAAAGAAAGGAAAACAATACGAACTATAATAAAGGTAGAAAGGTTTTAGTTCCTTAAGAAACTACGTGGTACATTGAGACGAGGTATTTTAAAAGCAGTTTTCTCTTCTACTGGATCAGCAACAGTATTGTCTGTTTTTTTATTGTCAGAATTATGAATATTTTGTCGACGATGAAGAAGCAAGAATACGGGAAATGGAAGTGATGGACCGACTTCTTGAGGTTACTTCACTTGAAAGGTAATACATGCTCAAAAGTGCATGCGGTCTGTTCAGATCTTCAATGAGTTCTGCATTATGTTCACATCAGCTCACTTCAACTCTCGTGGACTGACTTAGTCATGATGAGGCCCAATTAGTGGTTTTCGGGATATAGGATATTAATTAGGCCAAAAAGTAACGGGATCCTCAGATTCACCCCCTCCCCCTCCGCTCCTTAATGGTACCTCTAATTATGATATTTTAAATTTTGTGTTAGTTTACAGTCTTTTCGAGAAGGTCTCGAAAAAGCCGATTCAAAGGATGAAGTTAGAGGAATTTATGAGAAAGAGGTGAGGCAACCTTACTATCACGTATCTATTGCATTGTGACCACTGATTTATTGTTTACTTTTTATAAATGAGTTTAAAGAATTGAATTGTTACAAGACGCCAACCGCTGGTATCGATGGAGGAACTTCGACTAGATGACCATAGCACGAGAACGTTGTTGAACTGAAGGTTTAGCAGTACAATTGCTTTGCTTATAAGTTCTACATCTCGAAACATTTCGTAGTTGTCCTCTGCAAAATAGTGACGTGATGTTAACAAAATCTACTTTTTGTGAAAAACTTTCACGAACCAAGAGTTTTTTTTTATGTGCTCTTTAAAAAGACCGCATTTGACACTATTATCAAGCTAGTATCCCAAATTTGAACGATTGAAGAAATGATCGCCGTTCTTGTAAAAATTAACCTGCAGAACTGAAATTTTGATTTTGTAGTTACTTGAGGGGAGTAGTGATGGCACAGTGGTGAGAGCCTCGCCTTCTACCAGTGTGGCCCGGGTTCGATTCTGGGGCCCGTTTCTCAAAAGCCCCTTAAACCTTTTTGGGCTCGTAAAGCCATTTTTAGTTCATCTGTGTCTGACAACGGAGAAGTGTATGCGCCTGAAACTTCTTGTAGAAGGGAACCTCTGTTCATATTAAGAATGTGTGAATAAAACAGCTCTGTAATCATAAGGTTCGAGATTTTGCTATGGTTTTCCGGGTGCAAAAACGTTTCGGGACCTTCGAGAAACGGGCCCCTGGCCCGGTGTTGTATGTGAGTTAAGTTTGTAGTTGGTTCTCGCCTTTCTCAGGGCTCTCCGGTTTTCCTCCCTCCGCAAAAACCAACACTCCAAATTCCAATTCGACCAGGATAGAGGACCGCATGAAAACAAGCTAAATTCCTCTCTAAATATTGTAATTGATTTTCTCGTCTGTTGATCGATATTTCAACATTCTTTTTGCAATAGATGGAACAAATGAGAGAAAAAATGAGACAAGAAGCTATAGCAGAAACAAAACAGACTACGAAGAACAAAGATGATGGAGCAATTAGTGACGACTGGACAGAAGATCAGACACAGCTGCTTATTAAAGCTGTTAATCTGTTTCCAGCTGGAACAGCCTCAAGGTACAAAGCGTGTATAGGGATCTTAAAGGCAAACCACAACGGTAACGAGAAAGTTGTTGAACAAACTATTTTAAAAACGTTTGTTCATTGACTACTTAAATCTGATTAACAGGCTAGTCGATCGGCGTGCACATTGAGCGTTGAACATAGGCTCTTGCAATCCTGTTTATCTCGACCCCGCCTGGTTAGAGTTGCAGTTTTATTTCCGTAACGTGTGTTTTCATCCCGTATCCCGCCGTCAGTTTTAAAACTATCCCGCTTCCCGCACGTCAAAATGGGCAAATTCCACTCCCGCTGAAGTATTTGTATCGCGCATCCCGCCATTCATTTCTGATCGGAGTAGGGTCAGTTGACAACAACAACATTAACAACAACAACAACAACAGCAACAGCAACAGCAACAGCAACAGCAACAGCAACAGCAACAGCAACAACAACAACAGCAAACCCTAATACATTCCTGTCTGTCTTGTTGTGTTTTGGTTTTGTTTAGATGGAAGGTAATTGCTGATTACGTCAACATGCATGCCAAGACAGGCACTTTACGCGACTCTAAACACGTGATCAAGAAAGTCAAGACTTTACAAAAGCTAGGTTAGTTAAGTAGCTCCATCTTTCTGTTGTACCATCGTTCAGGCGGTAGCTAATGTGAACTCTTATTAGGCGTTAGTTTCCAAGAGCAACATAACTCGCATTACAAGTGAATATATGAAAGATCATATATTTGAACTGCGGAGAAAGATATGAAGACGTTGAGACCTGAATTTTTTTCGTGCTTTAATTTTACAAGTGCTTAAGTTGTATGTACAACTGCGATGATCAGTCAGGTCTTCATATCTTCACTTTACGGGTATATTATGAACTCACAACGTGACCAGTTCCCAGTCGGCTTGATAGCTCAGTTGGTAAAGCACTGCTGCGGTATCGCAGAGGTCATGGGTTCGAATCCCGTTCAAGCCTGACTGATTTTTTTTTTTTTTTTTTTTNTTCATGACGGTGGAGTTAGTTGTCCTGTTATAGCCTGCGTGCAGGCTCTAGGGTCTGGGTTTTGCACTCAAGCGTTGCTTTCTGTCTCCGCGAGCTAGCGAGTTTTAGTTCAAACCTGATTTTTTTTTTTTCAGGCTTTAATTTCCCTTCGATGATCAATCATGTCTCCATATAGTTCACATTAGTTGCCAACTTCTCTCGAAATATCGATTCTCCTTACTGGTTGTGATCCATTTCTTTAATGATGGTTTTGAGAATTTTGCAGTACATCAAGTTAATTGCGTAGTTGTTGATTTTCTCGGTTATCCGTTGGGAGTCGGTTAGGAGAATTTAGATTTTGAGCGCTTCTGGAAGCAATACAAATAAAGTCAATCTATGTATTTGTTGCACAGATAACAGAGGCGCAACTCCAGTGATCTTAACTAGTGTAATGCTGGAAAAAATGTTTGTTCCACAGACCCAGCCGTCAAACAGGAAGTTAATCGAAATGCTTTTGCGAAATTTGACAAAGATCGCTCACAAGGCAAGGCCACCTCATCCACGGAGTCTGACCCAACAGTAAGATATGATGGTGAGTAGAGGGACATAACGAAGCAGAAATAGTTCTTAAATACAGTACAACCCTGTGTAATCTACCTTTTCTTAATGGGCTAAATGGGGTTGTTTTAATTCACAACTCAAAAATGAAATTCATATCTTCGCACCGCCGTCTAATAGTGATATTTGATGATGTAGAAATAGCTAGCAATTCTTACCCTGTTTTCGATCTTTGTTTGTAAGCGAACAAATCTACAGAAGGTGCTCAGCAGACATCAGCATGGACGTCGGAGGAACAAAGAGTAAGATGCTGCCCTGTATCAATAAAATAATGTAAAGCAGTTTAAAGTTCATTGACCGATCGATGGACGAATCGAGCGAAGATCCATCGTTCGACTGCTTGCTTGCTTGCTCGATTGATGGATTGCTTCCTATTTAGATTCCGCACTTAATAATAAGTTTATGAAGTGGATCATACGTGTGAAAAGTGAATGAGAGAAAATCGGAGAGAAAAAATTCTTTGAGATACCGTAACTACGGGAATCGATAGAACTCGCAATTGATCAGCTCCAAGAATTCTACTCAGAGGTAGAGCGTTCACACTAACTTCGTGATGGTCGCAATCTGGATTGATTTTCACACCTTCTCTACAGCCGCTTAAGTCGCTGCATAACTACAAACTTGAAGACGTCTTCTCCTTATTTCTTTTATGCCCACAAATGGTAGCGCGGTTTGTGCATAGATTGCTCATATTCGCTGATATTTATTTTTCGCGAGAGCTCAGTTCAGTTTTTTTTTTTTTTTTTTTTTNTGACCAAAGTAACCAATGAGCTTTCGAGTTGGTCACTGTCATGTAGTTATAAGTTGGCGTTGGCCGCATGCTAAGTTAATTTAAATTAATATTTACATTAAAGACGATATTATTATCATAGAAGAAGAAAGACATACATAAATGCAAGCTAAAATAAAGGAGAAACAATATCCTGAATATTGTACAGCAGTATCTTACATAACTAACAGTTAAACTATGATCAAGTAGAAATAGCAGTAACATTTGCTTTATCCGTTTTTTTAGCTTTTAGAGAAAGCCCTTCGCACATATCCTGCGAATACACCCGAAAGATGGGAGCGAATAGCTGAAGCTGTACCGGGGAGAACTAAAAAGGAATGCATGAAAAGATACAAGGTATAGTAGTGTACATGAAGTTGCAGTTGAACCTGATCTCGATTACCAGCCGCTGGTCGGGAAAGGAGCCCGCGCTCAGGGTCTGGACTCGAGACAACGGCGGAAATCGAGGCTAGGTTGAACCTCGCTGTTTCGAGCTCTTTAAAAGAAACGAAAAATAGTTCGGCATGTCGGAGATCCGACTTAAAAAGTACATTCAAGGGTAAATAATTTGATTCGAGACAGCGGGAAGTTCGATCGAGATAACGGAGTTCGGAATAGCGAGGTTCTACCGTAATCGGGCGGATGCGTGTGCAGGTCAGGATTTTAGACTATTCGTGAAAAATTTTCCAAAAAATTGCACGAGCCTCAATATGGAAGAATTTTCAAATATCACAATTTCTTATTTATTATGTGACAGAGAAATACGAACACGTGCGTTTTAGTTTACACCGTAGGGCAAATTAAAAAGCACCTGTTTTCTCTCAGCCAATCACAATGAAGTAATCTTTGAAGTAATTTTCTCAATCATAGAGTAAAGTGCGCAATCTTTTGAAGACGTTTGTTTAGTCTCTGCAAATAAACAGTATTTGGGGATTTTAAGCGATTTGCTTTTAAGCCAATTTTTTTGAGACGACGAGGCGCAATGGCCCAGTGGTTAATAGTCAGCTCATCGCTTGATAGAACGGCCAGTGCTCGTTATGTCATGTGCGGGGCCATTGTCTCGTCTGCTCAGACAAGACACTTTACTCCCAGGAATGTAAATGAGAAGCAACGAATCCTCTGGTCTATTCTTTCTCCTTAAACCCTGCAACTCTCGTGGTCGATTGATTCAGCCCAAACACCGATGGCTTACAATACCAAACCCAGCATTGCTGTATTGCGATGGACGCAGGTGTTTTATTTTGTTTTATACCTATGTTTAATCCTGCTATGTTTTTTCATTTAAATCCTAGGACTTGGTTGAGATGGTGAAGGCTAAGAAAGCGGCTCAAAGTAAAGACAAAGCGTGACAGATATTGTTGAGACAGGAATTGTGCCGCCAAAATAATCCTTACAAATATTACTTCAAGAGTTGCTGTGACGGAATATGCCAGCTGGTGTCTTTGCAGCTCCATAAACAGCCAAAGGCGTTAGCAGAGCCTTTTAACTCTGCATTGCACTCATTCTCTTGTAAATAAAGTTGAACAATTTCGTACTAAGTGTGAGTTTCATTTTCTGTTCCATTCGGTGAGAAACCAGCAAGGCCCGTATTCAGTAGGCATATCGCTTTCTCGAGACGCTTAGAACTAACGTGCAAACAGAAAGCGGAAAAAATGATAATCTTTCGTCGTCTGTCTTGAGTTGTTTGCCCATGAAAGTGAGAATATTAATGTTTGCTAAATAAGAGTTTGTTTTGCCTATTTTTATGCTGGATTGCTCGTTCAAGGAAAAGAAAACAAAGTCATAAGCTCTTAAAAGGTTCTGCCGCTTACCGTAAACTTAAATTCTGCATTGCGACGAGTAAACTTGAGATTTTTTCAAGGCTGGTTTTATTGTGTAGTTAACTGGTGTCAAGGGATTGTGTGATGTTTTTTTGTTGTTTTTTTTCAGCGGGAACAATAAATTAGTTTGTCAGGAAAATATATGGACAGATCGATTGTGATGAATATGTCAAAATTAGGCGGTTAAATGGAGCAAGAATCATAGCGTGATAGCAGTATGATATAAATAAGAGGTTTGAATATCATTTCCTTAGCCTGGGGGGGGGGGGTACTCCCTTATATGGGCTATATAGGCATGTGTGGCCCCAAATGCTACGGGTTTTTAGCCGTTTTGGTCAAATAAGGTATCGATTTTGGCTAAATTGTAAAAAGATTTTGGTCTTAAATGAGGTAAGGGTTTTAGGAAGCGGGCCGCATACCCCCACCCGATTTTTCTGGAAGTACCCCCCGGGTCCCTGAGGCAGCTGATTTAACTTGTGAGTTAATTTTTCACATTCTCTCAGCAGAAAACAATACGGCATGATTTTGCAGAAATCAGAGCTCGAGCTAAATACTGCTTAAGTTCGACGGATGGCCATCTTGTTCTTTTCAAATGGAGTCGTCTTTCTTTTTCTCGCCAAAGGCACCGTCAAATAAATTGTTTAGCTTAGCGATAGGTGATTTCATAAGCAGTAGGCGATATCGTAACTTTGTTCATCAATGGAGTTTCTGACCATAATTGTGTTAATGAAAGTCATTACTGGTACACCTGGTTTTAAATGCTTATTTTTCTTGCATATTCTACCTAAAAATATCATTAGTAATGGAAAAAAAAGCTTTTAAGCCGGTTTTACAACCGGTGGGCGTCTTGGTTATAGATGCGATTCAATCTTTCCAGAAAAACTGTCGTGGTAAAATTATTGAAGATCTTAAATCGCCGAAAGCAAAGGGCGCTGGTTGCTATTAAACTGAGTTTTGCTGCGTTCCTAACGTAACTTTTGGGACTTTGATTCGCTACAAACGTGTATGTTCTAATATGTCGGAAACTAAATGTGTTAAAACTATTGTAAATATTTTATTTAAAAGAAACATACTATCAGAAATTCTATACATTTGTTCCCAGTATTTATTGATTTTCAGATTGTGCTCTTAATAACAAGGTTCTTTATTCCAAGCCGAGCAACTTTAGAGAGTCGCTTTATTTGAAATATGATAACCGTAGAATCAGTTTTAACTCCGCTTTGGAAGGGTCGCTACTTTCGCATAAAAGTGGAGAGGGGAGCTCGTTGCATTCAAAATTTCAAGTGGGATACAGTTAGTGAGTTCATTTCTTTCTTCCATAAGGATGACATTATATTCTTGACACGTTTCTTTTTTGTACCTGCTGACAGAGCTTTAATAAACACAGTACGTCAGTTTGTTAGTTGAAAGTCAGTTTGGATAGATTGACTGAGGCATTAATGTCACGTTTTCGACGTGAATACTAAGAACTGGGCATCCTGCAGTGACATCAGCATGATATCAATTTGTAGATTGCCAATCTTTACCTGGTGCAGCTGATAAGGCACTTCCTGTGACTGAAAGCGGTCGGTTACTGACAGATCTTTGGCAGAAAAAACAGAATGATATTAAATCCTCGGAAAATACAACAAGGGAACTCAGAACGTTCTACCCTGCTGTAAAGATTCAATCAGCCTGTTTCGTTTTTCACACGCTTGCAACTGTAAATTTGAATTAATTGACAATCAAGATTTATCAAGATCGAGAACACCATTTGATTACAAGAGCACCGTTTTAAAGTTTCGACCATGTCTGTGGCGAGTTCCAACTCTTCGGCAATTTCAACGGACGACGTAAGCACAAGCCACAGTTTTAAGGGCGTAATGGCTCAGCTCCTGCCAATTGCCGTCTCGATTATCATTGTAAACGGCGTAGTGTTTCTGTTATTCGCCAAAGAAAAGCGCTTGAGGACACCGAGAAATTATTTATTGTTAAGTTTAGCCGTGTGCGACTTTATGACGGGGCTCATCAATGTTCCTCTCATCGTTATCGTTTTTTCTACCCCGCCAGATTTTATTTTGGGATTTTTCGTAGCTGCTCTGCATTACTTGGTCGTGGTGCTAGTGGCGTATCACATCTTTGCCATAACAGCGGAGAGATATTTCTCCATCGTTTACCCTTTTCGCCATCGGTGGAAGATGACAAAAAAATCCTCTCTCAAGATTGTTGGCGCCATTTGGACGGCAGCTGCGGTGATCGCCTTCCTACCTGTCGCGTGGTGGTTTCCAAGATTTCGCGTAAATTCACCACAGAACAACATTGCAACTGTGACACGCCAAATTCAAACAGGCCATACTGTATTCTGTATTGTTTTCGTGTTTTTAGTGCCGTATGTTTTAATTGTCTATTCTCAAGTTGTCATGTTCAAAACCATCAGAATTCGAAGGAAGACGCGAAGGGTTGGAAGAAAAAACTATGCTGACTCTTCCGTCGCCCGGAAAGCTAAAGATATAAAAAGATGTCTGATAATTTTCGCGTTTATGGCATTTCTTTTTGCTATCTGCTGGTTCCCTTGGTTTGTGATCAGCTTTTTCCAAGGTCTCTGGTTTCCTATAGGTGAAGACGCAAAGTTTATTGTAGAAGACTTCTCGCGAGCATTTCTCATCTTGAAGTATCTCACCTCAATTTTTAATCCTCTTCTTTATACATTTCTCAAGAGAGACTTCCTGGACGCGTTCAAGGCTATTATTTTAAGAAGGAAAATTCAACCGAGGAACGGTGAAACACCAACAGTGAGACTAGAAGTTTTAACACCTCACCGTACCGAGAATTCAAAATGCACTCGAGCTGACTCATCAACGGCAATGGAAGAGGATGTCATTGAATATATAACAGTATTGTAGAAAATTAGACATTTTTCAACTTGAAGCTGGTACAGGCAAGAGGAAATGAAGGGTAACACAGTTAATCCCCCATATTATCTCTCAAGCTATTTTTAGATGTGGTATCTAGTCGTCCCATGGATAATGCTACCGTACGCGTTAAGCCCCTGCCAAACGATCGCAACATTTCAACGCAACATATCGCAACTTTGTTGGGCGCAACATGTAGCGCAACATACATGTTGTGCGCGTTTGGCCACCTGTTGTGATGTGTTGACCTGTGTTGCGACATGTTGAGTGTTGTTGGCTCAAGTTTCAAAATGGTCGTTCTTCTCTTGTGGCTGAGCTTGCACGCGCGACGAAACGGTGACCTTGATTATAATGGTATAGATCAATACGTCCTTGCTAAATTACGGTAGAGCTCAATGTATGACGAGCAATACAGGATCAAAGCGTACGTGACAAAAAGATGCGATGAAACTCTTCTCGTGTATTTGATGTATCTCAGACTCCTGATATAATGATTAAAACTAAGTAGTATGTGGAGAAAAGAAAAAAGGGGCGTCCCTGATACGACCAGGACTTTCAACGACCATGTCGTTTAAACAGACGATCGCGGCTGATAGCATTCGCAGCAGAGTCGGGGCCCATCTAGCCTTTAACTATGCAAACCATAACTAGACTTAAGAAATCTTAGTTCAACCAAGCAATATAATCAAGCAAACGTTCTCTAGCTCTAGAATAAGGAGACTACTGGCAGCCGGTCTTTTTACTTAGGGTCAGACGAGTGTTGCAGGAAGGGCTGTATGCATGGGCGTAAAGGGGTTGAGGCGAGTGCCGCGCCTAATATCTCGAAGGAAGTCGCGATGAATGCCTCGCCCATGACTCGTACCCAATCCCTTCTCTAGTCTGAAACCTTTCACCTGATTTCGAGAGAAAAACAGACTGACAGCAATCTATTGTATATTTGACCACAATTGCTACTAATCTCGCAATTTGATTGGCTAATTTGCCGTTGTTGATAAGAGTCTAGACAACGATGCTTGCGTCAATATGTCACGCAATGCCTTTTTCAGCTCGCGTTCTGAAAAACAAAAACACTTCTTTGACGTTTTCATTTTTGGTAAAAAACAAATCGAAATGTGGTTTAGCGTGGTCTGTACTCTTATCGACAACGATACACGTCATCACAGTGGTCAAAATGTTGTGGACTCAAGAGGCGCGGGCGAGTGAATCCACAGACCACGCTAAACCTCATTCGATTTGTTAAGCATATAGGTCGCGAAACTGAAGAATAAGCACGCGTGTACCAAGAGATTTTGATCTGATAACCTCTTGATGTGTACGTATAAAGATTCGCTAGAATTATTGAATCAAACAAGGCCATTACTATGAACTAGTGAGACAATCTCAGATGTGCAGAATGCAATTATATTGCTCCGTGAAGTACTCCACCCCTGCTCAGTTCACTTCCGGTTTGTATTTACCTTGGTAGTCTGCTAGGGCTTTTCCCCTTAGCAGTGTGTATGTTTCATGGTTGTATTTTCATTCCAGGTCCAAGAATCACCTACAGTTACTGTTTTTCATGACAGTCTTTAAATTTTACTTTGCTGTTTCACGTTGTTTTACGTCCATTTTAAATTCAACATTACGTTTAAGCAGCAAGCATAACAATTTAGCTTTTTACGCCAACTTTGTAACACACCAAAACACACGGAAGATGTGCTTTTTTTTTTTTCTTTCGCCTCTGGAGATATATAAAAGAAAGTTAAATATCTGATGAATAAATGGAAGAGAAACGATTTTGTTTTACTCAAAATGTAAATGTTTTTCACCGATAAACAAGAACTAATTTAATTATCAGATAGTCACGGAATACCACGTTCTTTTTCTTTGGTCGGTGCCACCTTTGTTGTTAACAAAGCTTCTCGGCCAAATATTCATTTTTCGGACAATCTCTCAACCGCGGACATCATCAGTCGACATACCAGCCACCTGAAGGGGTTTATTTACTAAATATTCACATAATCCAGATTATGACAATTTACATCACAACAGCGCAACTTAGTTGGCTCGTCAGAGCGCAAAAAAGCACGATAAACAAAGCTGCGATTTGGCGTCTAGACAGTAGATTAGCATCCGGCGAAGCATACTCAGGCATGTACCTTTTTTTGAAAGGTATAGGGGGGTGTGAGGGTTTGGCAATTTTCTGGGACATGAAATTTTTCCTCACCTTTAGGTTGTGCATGATTTTCAGTGTTGGGCAATAGCTTGGGTAAGAGTTTGTTATTATTATTTTAAGTCAAACACAGGACCCATATGGTAGAAAGCACTTGCTCGATGTTTTTTCCCGTGACTGTCCATAACATGATTTTTTTAACAGTTTTTTCTGTGCAGGAATGTATNTTATACCTATGTTTAATCCTGCTATGTTTTTTCATTTAAATCCTAGGACTTGGTTGAGATGGTGAAGGCTAAGAAAGCGGCTCAAAGTAAAGACAAAGCGTGACAGATATTGTTGAGACAGGAATTGTGCCGCCAAAATAATCCTTACAAATATTACTTCAAGAGTTGCTGTGACGGAATATGCCAGCTGGTGTCTTTGCAGCTCCATAAACAGCCAAAGGCGTTAGCAGAGCCTTTTAACTCTGCATTGCACTCATTCTCTTGTAAATAAAGTTGAACAATTTCGTACTAAGTGTGAGTTTCATTTTCTGTTCCATTCGGTGAGAAACCAGCAAGGCCCGTATTCAGTAGGCATATCGCTTTCTCGAGACGCTTAGAACTAACGTGCAAACAGAAAGCGGAAAAAATGATAATCTTTCGTCGTCTGTCTTGAGTTGTTTGCCCATGAAAGTGAGAATATTAATGTTTGCTAAATAAGAGTTTGTTTTGCCTATTTTTATGCTGGATTGCTCGTTCAAGGAAAAGAAAACAAAGTCATAAGCTCTTAAAAGGTTCTGCCGCTTACCGTAAACTTAAATTCTGCATTGCGACGAGTAAACTTGAGATTTTTTCAAGGCTGGTTTTATTGTGTAGTTAACTGGTGTCAAGGGATTGTGTGATGTTTTTTTGTTGTTTTTTTTCAGCGGGAACAATAAATTAGTTTGTCAGGAAAATATATGGACAGATCGATTGTGATGAATATGTCAAAATTAGGCGGTTAAATGGAGCAAGAATCATAGCGTGATAGCAGTATGATATAAATAAGAGGTTTGAATATCATTTCCTTAGCCTGGGGGGGGGGGGTACTCCCTTATATGGGCTATATAGGCATGTGTGGCCCCAAATGCTACGGGTTTTTAGCCGTTTTGGTCAAATAAGGTATCGATTTTGGCTAAATTGTAAAAAGATTTTGGTCTTAAATGAGGTAAGGGTTTTAGGAAGCGGGCCGCATACCCCCACCCGATTTTTCTGGAAGTACCCCCCGGGTCCCTGAGGCAGCTGATTTAACTTGTGAGTTAATTTTTCACATTCTCTCAGCAGAAAACAATACGGCATGATTTTGCAGAAATCAGAGCTCGAGCTAAATACTGCTTAAGTTCGACGGATGGCCATCTTGTTCTTTTCAAATGGAGTCGTCTTTCTTTTTCTCGCCAAAGGCACCGTCAAATAAATTGTTTAGCTTAGCGATAGGTGATTTCATAAGCAGTAGGCGATATCGTAACTTTGTTCATCAATGGAGTTTCTGACCATAATTGTGTTAATGAAAGTCATTACTGGTACACCTGGTTTTAAATGCTTATTTTTCTTGCATATTCTACCTAAAAATATCATTAGTAATGGAAAAAAAAGCTTTTAAGCCGGTTTTACAACCGGTGGGCGTCTTGGTTATAGATGCGATTCAATCTTTCCAGAAAAACTGTCGTGGTAAAATTATTGAAGATCTTAAATCGCCGAAAGCAAAGGGCGCTGGTTGCTATTAAACTGAGTTTTGCTGCGTTCCTAACGTAACTTTTGGGACTTTGATTCGCTACAAACGTGTATGTTCTAATATGTCGGAAACTAAATGTGTTAAAACTATTGTAAATATTTTATTTAAAAGAAACATACTATCAGAAATTCTATACATTTGTTCCCAGTATTTATTGATTTTCAGATTGTGCTCTTAATAACAAGGTTCTTTATTCCAAGCCGAGCAACTTTAGAGAGTCGCTTTATTTGAAATATGATAACCGTAGAATCAGTTTTAACTCCGCTTTGGAAGGGTCGCTACTTTCGCATAAAAGTGGAGAGGGGAGCTCGTTGCATTCAAAATTTCAAGTGGGATACAGTTAGTGAGTTCATTTCTTTCTTCCATAAGGATGACATTATATTCTTGACACGTTTCTTTTTTGTACCTGCTGACAGAGCTTTAATAAACACAGTACGTCAGTTTGTTAGTTGAAAGTCAGTTTGGATAGATTGACTGAGGCATTAATGTCACGTTTTCGACGTGAATACTAAGAACTGGGCATCCTGCAGTGACATCAGCATGATATCAATTTGTAGATTGCCAATCTTTACCTGGTGCAGCTGATAAGGCACTTCCTGTGACTGAAAGCGGTCGGTTACTGACAGATCTTTGGCAGAAAAAACAGAATGATATTAAATCCTCGGAAAATACAACAAGGGAACTCAGAACGTTCTACCCTGCTGTAAAGATTCAATCAGCCTGTTTCGTTTTTCACACGCTTGCAACTGTAAATTTGAATTAATTGACAATCAAGATTTATCAAGATCGAGAACACCATTTGATTACAAGAGCACCGTTTTAAAGTTTCGACCATGTCTGTGGCGAGTTCCAACTCTTCGGCAATTTCAACGGACGACGTAAGCACAAGCCACAGTTTTAAGGGCGTAATGGCTCAGCTCCTGCCAATTGCCGTCTCGATTATCATTGTAAACGGCGTAGTGTTTCTGTTATTCGCCAAAGAAAAGCGCTTGAGGACACCGAGAAATTATTTATTGTTAAGTTTAGCCGTGTGCGACTTTATGACGGGGCTCATCAATGTTCCTCTCATCGTTATCGTTTTTTCTACCCCGCCAGATTTTATTTTGGGATTTTTCGTAGCTGCTCTGCATTACTTGGTCGTGGTGCTAGTGGCGTATCACATCTTTGCCATAACAGCGGAGAGATATTTCTCCATCGTTTACCCTTTTCGCCATCGGTGGAAGATGACAAAAAAATCCTCTCTCAAGATTGTTGGCGCCATTTGGACGGCAGCTGCGGTGATCGCCTTCCTACCTGTCGCGTGGTGGTTTCCAAGATTTCGCGTAAATTCACCACAGAACAACATTGCAACTGTGACACGCCAAATTCAAACAGGCCATACTGTATTCTGTATTGTTTTCGTGTTTTTAGTGCCGTATGTTTTAATTGTCTATTCTCAAGTTGTCATGTTCAAAACCATCAGAATTCGAAGGAAGACGCGAAGGGTTGGAAGAAAAAACTATGCTGACTCTTCCGTCGCCCGGAAAGCTAAAGATATAAAAAGATGTCTGATAATTTTCGCGTTTATGGCATTTCTTTTTGCTATCTGCTGGTTCCCTTGGTTTGTGATCAGCTTTTTCCAAGGTCTCTGGTTTCCTATAGGTGAAGACGCAAAGTTTATTGTAGAAGACTTCTCGCGAGCATTTCTCATCTTGAAGTATCTCACCTCAATTTTTAATCCTCTTCTTTATACATTTCTCAAGAGAGACTTCCTGGACGCGTTCAAGGCTATTATTTTAAGAAGGAAAATTCAACCGAGGAACGGTGAAACACCAACAGTGAGACTAGAAGTTTTAACACCTCACCGTACCGAGAATTCAAAATGCACTCGAGCTGACTCATCAACGGCAATGGAAGAGGATGTCATTGAATATATAACAGTATTGTAGAAAATTAGACATTTTTCAACTTGAAGCTGGTACAGGCAAGAGGAAATGAAGGGTAACACAGTTAATCCCCCATATTATCTCTCAAGCTATTTTTAGATGTGGTATCTAGTCGTCCCATGGATAATGCTACCGTACGCGTTAAGCCCCTGCCAAACGATCGCAACATTTCAACGCAACATATCGCAACTTTGTTGGGCGCAACATGTAGCGCAACATACATGTTGTGCGCGTTTGGCCACCTGTTGTGATGTGTTGACCTGTGTTGCGACATGTTGAGTGTTGTTGGCTCAAGTTTCAAAATGGTCGTTCTTCTCTTGTGGCTGAGCTTGCACGCGCGACGAAACGGTGACCTTGATTATAATGGTATAGATCAATACGTCCTTGCTAAATTACGGTAGAGCTCAATGTATGACGAGCAATACAGGATCAAAGCGTACGTGACAAAAAGATGCGATGAAACTCTTCTCGTGTATTTGATGTATCTCAGACTCCTGATATAATGATTAAAACTAAGTAGTATGTGGAGAAAAGAAAAAAGGGGCGTCCCTGATACGACCAGGACTTTCAACGACCATGTCGTTTAAACAGACGATCGCGGCTGATAGCATTCGCAGCAGAGTCGGGGCCCATCTAGCCTTTAACTATGCAAACCATAACTAGACTTAAGAAATCTTAGTTCAACCAAGCAATATAATCAAGCAAACGTTCTCTAGCTCTAGAATAAGGAGACTACTGGCAGCCGGTCTTTTTACTTAGGGTCAGACGAGTGTTGCAGGAAGGGCTGTATGCATGGGCGTAAAGGGGTTGAGGCGAGTGCCGCGCCTAATATCTCGAAGGAAGTCGCGATGAATGCCTCGCCCATGACTCGTACCCAATCCCTTCTCTAGTCTGAAACCTTTCACCTGATTTCGAGAGAAAAACAGACTGACAGCAATCTATTGTATATTTGACCACAATTGCTACTAATCTCGCAATTTGATTGGCTAATTTGCCGTTGTTGATAAGAGTCTAGACAACGATGCTTGCGTCAATATGTCACGCAATGCCTTTTTCAGCTCGCGTTCTGAAAAACAAAAACACTTCTTTGACGTTTTCATTTTTGGTAAAAAACAAATCGAAATGTGGTTTAGCGTGGTCTGTACTCTTATCGACAACGATACACGTCATCACAGTGGTCAAAATGTTGTGGACTCAAGAGGCGCGGGCGAGTGAATCCACAGACCACGCTAAACCTCATTCGATTTGTTAAGCATATAGGTCGCGAAACTGAAGAATAAGCACGCGTGTACCAAGAGATTTTGATCTGATAACCTCTTGATGTGTACGTATAAAGATTCGCTAGAATTATTGAATCAAACAAGGCCATTACTATGAACTAGTGAGACAATCTCAGATGTGCAGAATGCAATTATATTGCTCCGTGAAGTACTCCACCCCTGCTCAGTTCACTTCCGGTTTGTATTTACCTTGGTAGTCTGCTAGGGCTTTTCCCCTTAGCAGTGTGTATGTTTCATGGTTGTATTTTCATTCCAGGTCCAAGAATCACCTACAGTTACTGTTTTTCATGACAGTCTTTAAATTTTACTTTGCTGTTTCACGTTGTTTTACGTCCATTTTAAATTCAACATTACGTTTAAGCAGCAAGCATAACAATTTAGCTTTTTACGCCAACTTTGTAACACACCAAAACACACGGAAGATGTGCTTTTTTTTTTTTCTTTCGCCTCTGGAGATATATAAAGGAAAGTTAAATATCTGATGAATAAATGGCATGACAACACGTAGTACCTAACTGGCGCATTCCTTATCGCTGTATAACAATATCAAAGTTTGAAAAATCAGGGTTTTTTTTTACCTTTTTTAAGTCGCTGCTATCATTTGTGCCCGATTATATTAATCTACGCGCTAAATAAGTTCAACTTTTGGCGGGGGTTAAAAAATTCGAGAGTAACCAGCAATTAGCAATCCACTAAGGATAATTAATTTCCGTAAATCGGACTGATAAATCTGATTTCCTTTTTTGAAATTAATTTCTTCATATTCTCTTCGATTCCGCTAGAAATAAGCTTGATTTTATTTACACACAAAGCTAACATAATTTGACAGCTGTCATTTAAAATGACAATGCGACGAGTTTTAAGGCCCTCTAGCATGCAAATGGAATAATGAATTATTTGATCCAAGCTGGGATTAAATCTTTTTTGTGAATATTTCTTATTATTCTAATGTTGACGGGCCACGGGGGAGTTGAACAGTAGCATCCTAAACACGAACTGTGAAGCTTGATCTCGCCTCGGACAACAATAGAAACGTAGACCTGAGTTATTTCATCATGCGAAAGGCACAGTTCTTTTTCGTGTGTATACTGGTAATCCATGGAGCTTTACTCGTTAACGGCGATATTGGTACGTATTGTAGGTAGAAATTTTAAAAGTGTTGATAGGGAAGGTTCCTTCAACGTTGGTTTCACCTTAAAATGATGACTCAACTGATCAAAGTTTCTTAAGATGCCTTTTATTTCTCAATTTAATAATTTCCAATTCTACTATACAACGTCGAGAGATTAGAAATAAGTAGTTGTTCGTGCACAGAGTTTTGTCTCTATTTATAAAGAGCTAGTTAATGTACTTTGCGGTCTGCTGAAATGTCAGGCCAGACGATATGCTACAGTCAGCCATTCTCTTTTATCACACACCTGTGATCTGGGTTAGTATCAGTAACGTTCATCGAATTCCAAGGCAGGCTAAGGCAGATAGCAGAGGCCGGGTTTTGCTTTTTATGGCCCTAAATCTTAGAAATTTAATTATTCTAATGCCAAAATTAAAAGCCATGGTGAGCCAAGTTAACCCTGAATGAGGAGCAGATTGCGATCGTTTAGTTACGGACAAAGGCGCAAATCAGGGCATCATTATTAGATATTTATAATAACAAGTTTTCTAGATTATCGATCATCACCGACTGGGCGAATCGTGTCTGAAATCCCGGCAATTGTTAATTTTTTGATCAGTGTTTGGGATGAAAACACCAGTCATGCATGTCCATGGAACTGTCACTCGAACACAAGAGGTTGGCGGAGATTATTCCTAATTAGGCCGAGGATATATTAATATTTCCCTCTCAGTATTTACAGAGTTTATTTATTCTGTTAAAAGTTACAAAACTTTTCTATTCGTCCCTAAGTTTCCCCACATATCCTGATATTTCAACGATACATTACTGATAGAATTTTAATGCAAAGTTAATTAAAAACCTAGAGCAATATTTACTTAGTTTTCAGAAAGTGCTGCTTGCTCGGTCAGATATCATGGGGTATACGACTGCTTGGCTATTCACTAACCCATATTCTAACTATTTAAGTTCACGTTTCTATTCATAACACAGTGACCATGGCTACTCCGTCTCTTAACAGGCAAAATCTTTCTAAATACCCCGTTTTAATTTGACTTTTTTAACGAACCATTTAGGCCAAGCAACATCTTGAATACTGATGAGATTTTACACAATAACCTGCTCCCGCATATAATTAACGATGTTAATCAAGTCACTGATATGATTTCGAAGTTTAAAATCGTAAAGAAAGCTTTGTGACATTCTCTGAGACTAGGAACTCCGCTAAACTACAATACAAAAACTCATTTTTAATAGTTAACAAGGGCAGCACATTTCTATTGAGTTCATTTTTGGTAGCTAGGCAACGCGAAATCACTTCGAGCCACTAAAAAAAAATTAGTAACGACATTTATACCATTGAGAACACACAACGATATCGCTTCCTTTTTTCAGTCCACCGAGACATGGGCGAAATTTTGCATGCGTTTGCCAGTTAAACACTGACACTTTTTTCGGGAATCCACTTTCAATACTTCTTTCCTTAGTTTTTACAAGTGTTCAGATCCGGCCATTAGAAATGATATATGCAGTTAGATCATGTTTATAAGTGGCCAAATGGATACGATCTAATAAGACAACTGAATCTTGAAGTGGATGTCAAGTCATCCCTCTTTCATCTGCCAAAAAAAACAAATAATCATAAAATAGAAATTAAATAGCAGCATACTGGAAATATGTCTAACAATTAAAATATATCTGTTCGTGCACAGCAGCCATCTTTTGCTAAACACTAGTTTTCCGTGCAAATTCGATCACTGACAAATTCATAAACATGTGCAAAATTTTCATGCATCCCCACATAGCAGTAAACTTGGCCTCGGGTATACGCCAAAAAAAAAAAAAAAAATGTTTACCATTAAGGTGGCTCCCCATAGTTTTACGATCGCACGCGCGCTTAGGACGAAAGCTCAAGTAATCTGCGCACGCCCAACGGAAAACGTCAGTGTTTTTCGATATTTTATGACGTCAATATGAGCACAAAAAGCAAAACTGACAGTGAATTTTCTCGCGTTTCCTACAGTGAAACTCCGTAAAATTTAGCAGACTGGTAATAAATATTTTACTTTAGTTGCAGCTCTTTTTTCAGCGAAATCTACCTGACTAGTTTTTCTTTTTTCGCAACGGTAAAAGACATAAATTTGAAAAAATCTAAAACAAACTGCCAGTAAAAACCCTACTTTTTTGTGTTTAGAATTCGTATCCCGCCGTATTCAATGTGCTGTAAAAATTTTGGAAAATTTCACTGAGGCAATTCAAGAAAATTACAAATAAAGCCATAAAAACGGTAAACAACGCATTCCTTCAGGCATTTATAATTCAACATTAAAAGCCAAGATTTTAAGAGAGATGATAGTAAATCAACATATCATCATTGCTTATTACATTTGATTAGTTTGAAAGGACTGGGTGAAAAACGAATGCAAAAACAGCTGATTCAAAGTATGACACTAGCGCGCGCAGCGTGATAAATGACTACCCTATGGAGCCACCTTAAGTGCACACAGCGGATAGAGACTTCTGTTACGTTGCTAAGATTTGTGAGAGAATGTGTATAACGCACGTTCTTTATCCGCATTTGATCGTTGTTGATGTTGTGGTGGTTTTATTTTCAGTCTGTCAGGACCTAGTGGAAGAGATTATATGCATAGAGGAGAAAGCAGGTGGAAATTGTGATGAATATCCTTGGAATGCAAAATGCCGTAAAACTTGTGGGCGCTGTGGTAAGTTCAAAACGAATAACTTATGATTGATGTCGAGGAGTTTCAACCTCAAGGAATGTACATAGTGTAAAAAATTATTCTTGAAGACATTTAGATGAAAACAACAACAACAACAACAACAACATGTACAACAACAACAAAGTGGCTACGACACGTGAGCGTAGCCACAAAAACTGTTGTTGTTGTTATGGGTTTTTCAGTGACAGTGGCGAAATATTGTACCGAGAAAATGGGAAAGAAAAAGTGATCCACCGTTCCAATTCCACCGCCTCTTATTCAGGTCCCGTCCACATTCCGCAGGAGAAATTTCAAAATGCAGCTCTATTTTTCCGGTTAGGCACTGATCCGTAATGAAAACGGAGCTTTTCCAAAACGCTCTTCGAAGCAGAGGAATTTGAAAACGTCGGCTTTTCGTTTCACGTGTGGACGGAAAACATTTTTGAAAAAGGCCGTTTTCGAAAACGATGGCGTGAAGGTAATCATGTGATATCCTTGACCAAGTTTTCCTCAAACTCAAATTCAAAACGACCGGTGACGTGCTTGTTGCGTCTTTTAGATTCCTCCGGCGTAGTGAGGACGGAAAACATTTGATGCGTTTTCGGAGTGAAATCTCCGTATTCAAGTTTCTCCGGTGCGGTGTTAAGACCGGGCACAGTATCACAGCTCGAATAACTGCAGCAAGTTCTAGTGTTGATTGCATATTATTTACTTTCTAATGAAAAAAGTTCGTGTAGTCGCCTAAATTCATTGTCTCCTGATTACTTGGCCTCTCTATATCTTGCAAAAGAGTTTGCCGAAGGTTTCTCTGGCGATCTGGCGAACTTCAGGTATTCTCCAACAATACAATGCTGGGTTAAATGAGGAATTGGCAAAGACGAATACCAAAGAAATATGTACCCAAAGTGATAGCGTAGCGTTTTGTTCAGATCTTCGAGCAGCTACGGACAAACACAGGTAAGGCGTATAGCACAGGAGGAGAAAAACAAACACGTAAATTGTGCTTGTGACTGTTTTCTTGTAACGTCCTAAATGGAATGCTGCGTTTCCTTGTACTTGATTGGCATTGAGCCCGACTTGACATTGCCGCACCAACATGAAGACCCGGATGTAGGAGACACATGCGATGGTGATACATGAAATCAAGAGTGTGTTTCTGAAAATTCTATAAAGTGCTATATTCCAGATCCACACCGTCGACAAAAAGGCACATAAAACCCAAATAAAGGCGAGGAGAGTGAATGTCTTCCTCAAAGTAGCAAATTGGCGGTATCGTATGCGCAGCTGGATGGCGAAAAATCTGTCTAAAGCGATAGAAGTCGTGGTTACAAATGAAACTGCTGCAATAAAGTACCCGATTGTGTTGTACACCACTTGAATGACGCAAAAAGAGTTCATGTTCTTAGTTAACGCAATGTAGTTTGACGCTAAGAACAAAGGCTGCACAACTAAACCAACACCAAGGTCGGAGAGTACCAGGTTTCGAAGAAGTGCCTTAAATGGCGGATGCAAAGAACGACATTTCCACAAACAGAACAACATTATGAAGTTTCCAACGATGGAAGTAAGCAAGAACGGAATGGTGACTAAACAGCTTACTGTATACGCTGTTCGGAAAGCGTCGACGTCATTAAAAGTCTTTTTGATGTGAGGAAAACAAAAATCTTCTGGTTTCATTGTGTAACCTTGATTGAACACGAAGTTTCTGCATATGTTGTCCTTCAATATTGGTTACAGAAGATAAAATTGTGCACCTGCGAGATTTCCAGGATTACATCTTTCAAATATAAGCAATACAATTCATTATGTTTCACCCCCAAACTGTCTATTTTTTCTCTTAAATTAATTACATTATCCTGTGTAATCTCCCACTCTGTCTGAGTGATTGATAATTTCTGAAAATTTCAAGTAAAAATGATAATTCGCGTTTTCATCTCCGCTTTAAGGCAAAGAAATAAATAAAGCAATTAAGTATCAACTGTTACGCTTCAAAGTGCTACTGAAGCAACTATGCAACAATTTCTTAATTGAACAGCTTGAAATTCTATTTATTTCGTGAAAAACCTTTTTTGTTTAGGGAAATGGCATACGCTTGCTAAGCTATATATGAGGATTTCATGTCGCGATGAGAATTTAGCAGAAACATTCGGTTTGTTAGGAAATTGTAAAACAGAAATATTGAGGTTGTTTTTTATTAAGGAAACCATTTCCCCGGGATATTAACAGCTGTTACGATTCAAAAAGTAATCTTCTTAATTCAGAATAATCACGGTCGATCCATTTTAAAATACTCAGTGTTCTACAGCTTTCATTTGAACGGTCTCATACTCAGATTCAAATTTTAGAACCATCTCAGGATTGCATGATAAACGGTAATTTGCTAGGCCCTGAAAATTGAAAGCATTTTTTTTTGAAAAAGATAATTGCGGAAAGATTCCAACCAAGACATGTTAACAAACAGAACCTTACTGTATTTACATGTAATTATCTTTCTTCCCAAAAATATATGTGCAAGTAATCTGTTTAAGCTGTCTGTTTAATTATGGTGAAAATATTAATTTATATCTTAAAAGACTCATGTAAACGTAATGGTTTGTCTGCTCATATTTGAGAAAATGTCAAAATTAGAACTGCGGTGATATTCAACAATTTCCGTTTTCTAGAGAAAGCCCCATGAAAAATTAAGCTTGCAGATAAAATCAGTGGTCTTGGTCTGGTACAATTAAAAAAATACATATTTTGAATACAAAATGGGAATTACGAGAGCTGACTGAAATTCGCTGTGAAATAAGAAAACTTGCTGGGAATTTGCATAATTTGGTCGACTTTTTAAATGTGATTTCTTATACTGCTCTCAATAGTAACAAAAAATAATAATTACTCCTTCCATAAGATATTAAAATTGATACACGAAAGAAGACTAAAACTTTACAATTCTAAATATCGGTTAAAAATAGATGAAATTACAAAGTTAAAATCTTCAATCTAAAATTTGGATGAAAGTCCCAGAGCTTTCGTAGCTTTCCTCGAGGTGGTCTCCTTGCTCGAAATGAAGATTCGGTCCACATGTTACAGTACCTGGTCAAGAGATTATCAATCTCTTGACTCGGCATAAACTGATAGGGATACCGAATGGTCTTTGCGAGCATTTGCGAGCATACGAACAGTGCGTTTATTTTTGCGAACACGAGCAGTGATCAAATTTGTCTTGCGAGCAGCGAGCATTTCAGAAAATACAGATGGCGAGCAGCGAGAACTTCGTAAATTTTCCGCTAGCTGGAATCTCTCTTTTCAATTAAAAGGAAAAGTTGTTTTGCGCCAAGTAATCTGGCTGACACTTCCAAATTAGGACAATAAACACAACTCTAGAGGCAGCATGTTAGGACCTTATCGTGGCTCAGCCAATCTCAGCTGCTTACTGCGCTAACAACCAGTATGCCTTGTTTGATTTCAAATTACGTCGCTTAGCTGCACGTAAGTCAGTGGATAAATGCTTAAGGAGATCTAAAGCCAGTTTCTTTCCACGAGAAGAAGCTAAATGCTACCAGACTCCAGAATCCGAGCATGCGAGCAGTGGCAAAAATTTCGAGAGCAGGAGCGAGCGAGCACTCATCTAATTTTTACGAGCAATTCGAGCAAAGGCCCAATTTTGCGAGCACTTTTAAATTGAATGGGACCATTCAATACCTCTACTGATGACATCGCTAGCCAGACTTGCATGGCAGTGATAATAATTTTAAGCGAAGTAACGCAGCGGTACGTTTAGACCGTACCGGGGTAACAACTTAGCTCTTTTTTCTTTCCACTTTCATGCAGATAAGTGTTACGATGCTAGCAACTTCATAACATGCGAGGGTGAACTGGAAAAAGGAAACTGTGGCGACATTGAAGTTGCGCATGCGTGTAGTCGAACATGTGCAACTCTCTCCTGTACTGGTAACATACATGAGATTGTGCATCAGGTAACAAATTATGTTTCTTCTTTTTCTTCACGGGGCTGGGCCGTTTACAGGGAAAATGTTTTTTCCTTAAAGTGCCACTATGATCAAATTTTCCATACCCATTTTTTTTACATTTTCGCACACAATAGGTCTTTCCTAGATTTCTTGCCAAATTTCAATCTATTAGGAACATTAGAACTAATGTCGTTTGGACCTTTATTTCCGAGAATTTACGGCCGCCATTAATTTTCCTTGTTCCAAGTCTTGGTTGAGAATTTGAGAAAAT